GGACAATTACGAATAGCACATTACGCGTGAGCGCGCGCGCATCTACACGAGAGATAGGGAGATAGAAATAGATAGAGATAGATAGAGATAGATAGATAGATAGATAGATAGATAGATAGATAGATAGATAGAGAGAGAGAGAGAGAGAGAAAGAGAGAGAGAGAGAGAGACACACACACCGACGCGACGTGACTGAGACGCGTAATGTGTCACCTTCGCTGTCAATGTATTTATTTACCTATCGATGATGATTCTTCGGCCTGGGGTTAAAAAGAGCCATGGACCTTGCTCGAGATCAGTATATAATTAACTACTCTCGTCAAGACTATCGCATTGCCGCTGTAATGGATATCGCAAGACTTATTATCAATTGATACTGTATTTAAAAGGGGAATGGAACATAACGCAGCGATGCATTTTCAAATAAATAATTTCAAGCTCTCTTGATAAACGTCACTCCCGTTGTTTTAATTACTTACTTTACAAATAATTAAAATATCTTATTTTAATACTAAATTAAGGTAAAGGTGACAAAAGATAATGCTTATTGTAATTCTGTAGGATATTGTTTGGCACAATGAAAACAAGGAATATCAATTACATTTACATTTACATTTCTATGCCGATGATTTTTATTATTTTTTTGTTTTGTTTTGCTTGGATTTTTAATTGGATTTTTACGTATATCGTTCAATTGTCTTCTTATCGAACAGCTTTAATCAATTGAAGAGATCGAAAGATATACTTTAATTCTTTTGACTCGTTTATTCAAATAATATACACCCTTAATAGAAAAACACAAACAAAATTACAAGATAAACGCGCGTAGTTTGCTTCGTTAAATCCAATTCCTCAAACGCAAAGATATATGTCAACATATTATTAGCGAGAGTAAAATACTCGATTAATCATTATTAGGCTAAAATATACTTGTAAGTCAATTAATATACAATAAAATATCTATCTAATTTTCGAATATTTATAATAATTTCAATTCAATATACAAATTTATTAAACGCTCCACGAGGCTCTTTAATTTAATAAAATTTCAATAACAATCGTGACAATGCTAATAACACCAACACTTTGATAAACTATATTCATCATTTCATTATATTAAATATTATTACTTACTGATATAAACATTGAAAAAAATATTAAACTGTGCTAAAAAGAATTGCACTGACGACGCTTTAATAATTTGAAAATATCTTAAGTAGAGTATGATTGAATCTATCGAAACCACAATTTTTAATGGAACAGCCTCAATAATTATCAATTTTGCATCGAAAACGTTACCTCGCAGCCAACCAATAAGAAAGTAAATTATTTACATTGCAACATCGTTATATTATATTACGCACATTAAAGTATTGCACATATCAGAAGCCGAACAAAATTGTTACCTTTAAGCAAATAATTAAAAATTGTCTATACAATCGGTGCACAATGTGTAAAATTAATTTAGATTAAGCTTTTAATGCTTATATTTAATGTAACAATAAAATCTTTCTCTGGCTCATTGTCCCTTAAAATGATAAATTCGTCGTATTGAAATGTGACGGAATTAATGTACTCGGTAACGATAAGAGATTACGGCAACCTGCAAATAATCGTTCAAACGCCCTCACTAATCAGCGAGCAATCAACGAATCGTTATGGTCCGTTCGTTCGATCTACTGCAAAAGAGAAAAAATCAGAATTGCAGGTGTTTCACACTCTTAGGGCATAAAACATCTTTAAGAAGCATTCTAATAATAGTGAATTGGAACGCATACTCGAACACGTCCTTGTGCCCCTTCTACATTGTCAGTGCGATAAGTAATACTTGATTTAACATTTAACATTGAATAAGGTGGCAATATTTAAGGACAGGCAAACTTAAAAAGATCCTTAAACCAACAAATACAGCTTCAAGTGCCTACTTGCTTATCACTTTAAATTTTCATAAATAAATAATGCGAATGTTTCTGCTCATTTACAGAGCAACAATAGCCAATACGAACGATACTCCTCACATTGAGAATAATTTTACGAACTTAATGTAAATTTAATGAATTTTCTGTCAATAATCTCAACGATCACTTTCAGATAAATACGATTGTCCTATTGCGAAAACTGAGAGGTTTTTAATTAAAAATTTAAGAAAATAATTTAAGCGCCTCGAATGAATCGGTAAATCCGTAATGTTTTTCTACCTCAACAATACAAATAATCCAAACGTAAAACGGAATTCAATTATTCATTAAATATTATTGATATATTATTAAAATTGTAGATCCATGAATTCTAAATACAGGTATATCATAATTGAATTTAATTACAATACAATAATAATAACAACAAAGATAACGAAAACAATAATAATAATAATAACAACAACAACAACAACAACAGCAACAACAGCAACAACAGCAACAATAATAAAGTTCGTTAACTTATCGTTATACTGATATAATAATTTACTACATAAATGCAATTTGTAATAACAATATATTTATTAATTAAACTTTTTGTAATTATCAAATTTACTTTACATTTAACTCATAATGTATTAAGAATAGAACAAGAATTTTTAAAAACCTGCTAATGTTATTATTTATATAACGTAAGTAATAAGTACGATTAACATTAATTTAATTAATTTAACACTAAAATAATAATAAAAATACGATTAAAAAAATTTTACATTTTAAGCATAATTTTAAGATAAATATTTTTGTTATCGTCACAAGTAATATCATCCACGGCATTATAACTAATTTTAATAATATCATATTCTCTTAAAGCTAAGTGATTTTCATTGGATAAAATGCTTATAATAAAAAGATCTAAAAATCATATTTAAATCTTTATTGACCTATCTTGATTGTATAATTATGAAATGAGTCTTTTCAAGTAGAGTTAGCTCTCAAATTGAATGAGTAGTCATAATTTTTCAAAGTCATAGTGTAATACACCTTCGTTTACGTTGCGGTATGTTTCCCACTTACCTATGCTAAGCAAAAGGACGAAGGACGAAAGAGACATTTCGCAGAAACTGACAAGGATAAAAGATTTTCATTCGGTAGTACGAGACCGAGCAATCAGATGAAATATAATTGATCGTGATCGTAACGCAATACCGCCAAATCCAACTGCACATCCTCGTCGCGACATCAACAATAGAAATTCCGCGTCCTTATCTCCTTAAATGTACAGCTCGAACTTACGAGCCAAAGTTACATGCGAGCTTGCTGATTTCTAATTAGCGTTTGAAATCATAAATATTCACGAATATTATGCAAATTCTTCATTACGCATGAAATCGTACCAGCGTTTTCGCCGTTTATTTCTACAATTATTTATACAGTAATCATAATAAATGAAATATTTATACATGTATGCATGTCTGGATATTAAAAAATTTTTAAGTATCTGTTTATAGGTGGATATTAATTGTATAATAAAAAAATAACTCGTGAAAAAATTTAAAAATATCAGTATATAGCTAATTATTGCTCAAAAACGTTTTGAAATAAATTGTTTTATATGTTCAATGTATATCTATAAGTATAATTATGTACTAAAAATAATTTTAAAAACTTAATTTATTATTTAAAAAATTTATTATATATGTATATATTAGATTATATATTAATAAAACATTAAATTTAAATATTTTTAATAGTTATCGATTAATTAGGTTTTTATTAATTATAAATATATGTGTGTATATATATATATTAATAATTTTAAACAAACAAATAATTCAATATAAATTCATATTTAGGAAATATCTTTTCGTTAATTATTAGCAAATAAAATTTTATACTTTGTTAAAATTGATCGAAATCCTCTTAAATGTGTAAATATGAATGAAAATGGAACAATAAAAACTTGGAATTAAATAATATTTTTGTTATGAATATTATTTTATATAAGGAATATAATAATCAAGCGAAAATTATAATTTATAAATATATATTTGTATCTTACTAAATAATAATTTTAATTATTTTATTAAACAATAGTTCTTAAATAAATAGTGTTATATATTAATACGTTAAACATTATAGGACTAATAACAGAATGAAACATTTGGAATAATCTAAACAATTAGGTAACATTCTATTGAATTGTCTATACTATTATTGTAAAGGAATTTTGTACTCTGGAATTTCGTACAGTAGGTATATATATATATATATATATAATTATATACTATATTATAATACAATCAAGTTATATATAACTATTGGAATAAAGTTGATATGATAAGGCAATATTGACGATGAATTAAGGATTTTCTTTTAATTTAGCCGACGTACTGCATACCCTAAACATAATACTATACAGGTAGAATTGAAGCCTTAGCTTAGTAACATTAAAAACAATATTTTAATAAAAATAATAATAATTAAATATAGACTTTAAAAGGCAACAATAATTTGTATGAATTAATGTAATTATCATTTGCAATATTTGTCCTTGTATAAGCACACTAAGCATTAAAATAATTATAAAAATAACTTTATAAATAGTAATTGTATCGACTCTATTATAAGTATGACTAGAAAAAAATAATATTATTAAAGTTACCAAAAACAATTGATATATTCATGATAAAAATTGTTCTAATACGTATATTTGAAAAAAATATATATTCTTTATCAATATATAAATTAGAATTTAATAATTTAATTATAATATTGTAAAACAGTTAAATACCTACAATAATTTTATGTATTTAAATTCAATTAGTGTAAACTGAATATTACAAAATTTAACATTGGTTTTAAAAACCTTAAAAATTAGTGATTATTCATGAATAACAATGGTTGTTTTTGGTGATAAGTAATATTATATATGAAAGAATTCATATACTGCGTTATTAACAATAGTTAAGATATATTAGTGTTACATTAGTTTTGCCAAAAATAAACGTTCTATATTTTAAACTATTATTAATAATTTTTAAGCTAAATTATGAATATATATATATATATGTATATACTGAATACCAGCACTATACGATAAACAATTTCTCCATTAAAGTTTCGTTGTCTTTACAAACCGATAATCGTAAATAAAGAAATATTATTAATGAAATAAGATAAAATTTTACTATATCGTACTTTTATTTCAGGCATAAATATCACGCGCCTGAAGTGAATTTGTATAGATTGGCAAAAATACTATCACAGTATATAATTTGACTATATTTCATTCGTATTGTTTATGCGTATTTTGACAACCTTCTGAAACCTCATGATTCTTTGATGTATACTTAAATTTAAAAAATTTATTCATTAAAATATTATCCAAATATGATTTTACTTTTTGAAAATGAAATTTAGTCAGAGAGAAGTTTGAACTTAAGCAAAAGAGCTTGTAGAGTAAAGGAATACACAATAATTGATGACAAGTTGCCCAGAGACGATAATTTTGTCCTTCGAATGGATCCAAAATTGCAGGACACAGCATATGGCTTAAATTTACTTGTACAAACTGAAATAATAAACGAATGTCTATTTATATTCTTTATAAAAGAGAAAATAATGTTTAAATAAATCTATATTATTGAATTACCATTCCAACAATTTGAAGTATCCAAAAGTGATATGCTAAATTCAACGCATATCCAAATATTGTCCAACTCATGTCAAATAATGGTTCTATACTATAAGCACCTATAAAGTAATGGTTCTTATATAATTATAATGTATAAAAAAGTTTCATCCAATCGTTAAACAATATCCTATTTGAGTATACTCTATTCGATTCGACAAACTCACCTTCAAGTTTTATAAGGTAATAAGGAATCACAGCCATCAACCCATGTTGGATATAATATATAGCTTTATCCATAAACATCTAAATATAAATAAAATTAATTAAACTATACCACTTTATTGTTATAAGATATTAGTAAATAAATTAAGACTTACAGGTCGACAATCAGTTTCTGGAAATGCGTATGCCAAAATTGGACCGTTTAAACCTGATATTACTAATCTGAATATAGCAGTTATAACAGGACTATTTGCAAGTAAATAAATCTTAAATTATTCATAAAATTATTTATACAATTATAAAAGTATAGTATGGATCGATGTATTTATAAAAAAAAAACACAAAATTCCAAGTAGTTTCGTTACCTCTGCAATTGTAAAAATATGACAAGGATTTAATATATACACAAAAGTTTTTCCTGCAAGTTTAAAACCAATTTCAATCCCAAATACTATAGACATAATGGTCAGCAGGATGATTTTGCCATATCTTGTTTGTTGAACATAAGGTACAGTTTTTGGTAAAGTCATTCTCTTCAAGCTCCATATAATCAAAAGAATAATATATACAGATACTAATAAAGTTTCGATCACTCTCCTTTTCATTGAAAGGTAATTAGCACATTCTGGCCCTATGTTCCTAGGAATAGATGCATTTACTCCGGCATAAGCCCACTCAAACATTGCAAGATACTATTCTCTTCCAATAGCTAGAAAATTTAAGAAATTACATATATAATACCTTATGGAATAAATGGATTTCGATGATGAAAAAAAAAAAAAAAAAAAAAAAAAAAAAACAAGGTCTAATAAAAATACACATAAAATAATTAAAGAGATTATTGAGAGAAAAACACTTTGACACGCCAATAATTAATTGTCAAATGAAATATATAAACGTACAAATAAAATCTTTACAACAAGAATAGATTTTCTAAGGTTTCACTTAAAAATTTTAAATTAAATCAGCCAGCCTAATTAATTTACGCAATTATAGGTTATGAATCGCTATATACTTAATTGTGCAATAATCAATTGTGCTGAAAACAAAACACAATACAACTGCGATTGTAATATCATACTTTATATTATTTGCTTCCAAAAATATTTACCTTGATTTAAAAATCAAATGCCAACAATAAACCGCCAAATTACACACCAATATTCATCGTTATATCATGGCCTGTCAATTGTTCGATGTTTTCTGAAAAGGACTAAGAGTTGTGCAAATATTTCCTTGACTGTACAATCGAATGGCAGTTTTTATAGCGCCACTGTACTAGACAGAGAACAACTATATGTACGTTGCGATTTTTCGAAGCTGCGTACGATGAACATGCTCAAATAAATATACCAAAACAGGCTTTAAATTATAAATTAACAATAATATTACTTTTATAGTGGAAGTGCCCAAGTCGTTTGAAAATCATTCCCCATGGAAATTAATCGATCCAATAACTTGAAAGCTTTTAAACTTGAGTTTCCAGCTTGCTTAAACAAAGCTTTAAAAATCTCAACGGCGCAAAATACCGTTTTCATTAACGATTGACAAATACATTATAAGATTATACGATATCATTTTCACGGAAACTTGATTTGCACAGCATTAATCAATTGACATACGCAAACCAACTTGGCATTCGAATGAAACAAATCTCATGGTTGAAAAAAATTCCTTAAATTGTGAAGTTCGCTTCGCAACACTTACGGTCTATCCAATTGTTAAAGATGTAGATAATTTATTATAAACGTTTAAAATAAATTGCTAAATTTATTTAAATTAAAGAATTACAAACAAATCATCGCTGCGATCTAAATGTAGGTAACACAATTAAAAACATTTTCCCATTACAAGCCAATCCGTGACACTGGCAATTTGTTTATTTTCTCGTCATTTTTATGAATATAAATATTGATTTTATAATTTATTATGAGAAATTATATGTACGTTATAAAAATTGTATGCTTTCAAATGTCTTTAAAATTATTTTTAATAAGTATTATTTTTATGTTTAAAATTACGATTTTAAATGTCTAACTCGCCATTATCATGATGAAGCACATAGACGTGGTTATTTGTAATAAATTAACAATAATCGTCACTGTATTAACATTTTTTTATTGAAAATTTTTAGGGATGAAACATTTAATTTCTTAAGATTTTTTTGCTTAAATTAATTTACAATTCCACTTCTTTATGGTTTTAGTCCAAATTACTTCCTATAACAATGTAAATTTTAAAAATAATCGAATTTTATAAAACGTTCTTGTAAAATTTACAAAACATAATTACTAACATCAAAAAGCAATGTTTTTTAAATAAATCTATTACAATAACAAATTCATGATTATAATACTTTGAAAACATAATTTTAATTCATTTTTTACATTTAAAAGAACAACGCAACGAAACATACATATAAATAATCAAATTGAGTTTATATACAAATTTCTTTCATTTCCAAAGGACTTCACTTTTATTTCTTTTATTTTAATATTTTATTTTTGTTGACTTCCATTTTGTCAGTCTTTGACGTTTATTCGCAAAGTAACACGAAGTATATCACAATTGAATTCGTAAGGCTGTATACAATAAAGTGAGGTCTTTATTAAATCACAAAAGTACTATTTTTAATGAATATATTAAAACACAAGAAATTTATTTTTAATATATATATATATATATATATATATATATATATATATATATATATATTAATGTTATATAAGTATTAACTTCATTAAAGGAAAAAACTAAGATTCAATTAATCGTAAGTTCTTTAAATTCAATAATGTTAAAACAAAATAATAGCTCTCAATTGACATAAGTAAAAAAATAATAAATAATAGAAATAGGAAAGATTTAAGTTAATAAATTTACGTTCTGAAATTTAAGAAGGGAATGTTAGCAGTACAAATATTACAGATAGTATTAGGTAAAAAGTATTACTTTCGATATTAAATTTGATTTAATAAAGCAAATCTTACATATTGCTAAAAATATATTTTGTTAATCCATCTCCTTAAAGTATAAAAAATTATTATAAATATTAAATTTTTCAAAAATAATACGAATATTCAAGAAATTCTTATACAATTAACAAAATTAAATAATTATGTTCTAACGTAACATAGTTTCTCGTTATATGATCATCTTAATGCTTTATATATTTTTTAATGAATGTGTAAATGTTATTGATTATATTTTTAACTTCAATACCAAAATTTAATAGTATCTTAATTATTTTATTTAAAAATGAAACTTATTTAATTTTTCTTTCAAGCTAAGTACAACTAAAAACGTCTTTTTAACTAATTACAAAAACATCTTATAATTATATGGCTCGTTTATCATTAAAAATGATTAATTATATTTTTATAAATCCAATACACAATACCTAAATGATTGTGTTTAAATAAACAGGTGAATTCTTAGTAGAGATTAAGCACAATTTGGATACAGGATCCATACAAAGAAATAGTATTTTAATATAAAATTTCAGATGATAATCCTGATTACATACTGAGGTAACCTCTAGCTTCACTGCGTCTACGACTTATGAGATATGCAGCCAACACAATTATTACTAGACCTGCTAGAACACAGCCTACTGCTATTGGTACAATATCAGGTGTATCAAATGCACAGTCTTCAGCTAAAAGTATAAATTATTTGTAAATCATTTTGAAACGATTGATTTGAATATCTTATTAAAAAAAAAAAAAATCTTATCTTAACAATTAGCTTACCAAGACCGAAAGTTGTTTTTTTATCAGTTTTAAAAGCCTCAAATTGAAGATCAGTTACTTTCAGGAATCCAGTGATTGCACTACCATTTGTCTGTGTTAAATTGAAAGTTTGCAGCCTAACACATCGATATGAATTTCCAATAGAAGTATTAAAATGTTCGCCTCTATGCACAAGTTTTAATGTCGAATCTATAATTTACGTTTTTAATTTAAACAATAATTAATCGAATAATAAATATTACACACATTAAACAGAAGAACAAAACATACTTAATGCAGCATTTGGTATTTCTTTCGAATTTATTGAAACTTCTAAATTATTGAGTGCATATGTATTCGCTGAACGTTTGAAATGAAGTTGTAGATAACTATTGTTTAATTGATTACTAGATTTCCAAGAGAGTGTTAATGTCTCATCAGACTTAGTAAAATTACCATCTGCTTTTGTATTATTATTTGCTGGAAGATCTATTTGCACAGAAACATTCTACCAGGGATTGAACAAATATATTAATAGTCTTATTTGAAAAATTAATTATTTCTATAAATATTTCATACCTGTTTAGTTGTACTATTTTGATATACAATGATTAATCTTACAGCCATTTGTATAATAATAGTACTGTTTGTTCCATTTACAATCCATTTATATGGCTTAGGATCTACAGGAGGAATTTTGGTAGTGGGGTTTACATTATCTGTTGTAGTTTTTACAATTTCTGTTGTAGTGCTAATAGTAGTTGTCGGTACAGAAGTTGTACTTAATGCTATTAAAGGACCGCTTGTTTTATTATTATTAGACGATGGTACACTCGACGAGGGGGTACTAATTGTATCATTTAAAAGGGCACTGTTCGCACCTAAAAATAATTAAAATCTTTTATTAAAATAATACGTAATATCAATGTTATTAGAGTTTAAAAACAATTTAAATAAGATATATACACTATTATGAAATTTAAATGAGATTCAACTATGTATGTATCTAAAGGAGATAATTTATAAAACTTTCTTATTGCTTAAATATTTTATTTCAAATAATAATTTAAGAAATACAATAAAATAATAAAAAATTAATAATAATAATTTCTTATACCAATGAATTGAATTATTTACTATATTCACGTGTGCACATAGATTTACTTAAATATATTAATTGGCTATTAAACTATCGAATGATTTTTATTATGATTTATAACTTTATTTAACCTTAATTATATAAAATACACTGATACAAAAAGAATATCAGGCAGAATATGTGATAATTTTGCTTATCAAATGACTGAAAAAGAATGCGTAATTCTATCCATACTGATAAGGAAACATTAAATCACAATTTCAGCTAAATAAATGAGTTCTTATCAAAGCTAGTCAAAATATAAATAGAATAAAAATATTTAATTAATACTATAGTGAGAGGTTCAATGTTCATTCATTTCTTTATTGAAAATTAAAAATATTCCAAGTATTAATTACGAATATACAAAAGACTTAAAACATTAAAATAACTTTCAATCATTAATTGGTAAATTTTTAATATATAAATTACAAATAGCATAGTAAACAAATCATTTACAATGCCTTTATTAATATTAAAATATATCACTTTTAGATAACTCTTTAAAAATAAAAAAATTAATATTGTTTAAATACAAAGATAAAATTAACATATAAACTTTAATAGGGTATAACAAATTAAAGTATATTAGAGTATATTAATCAAATTAGATGTTTGAACCAATAGTATTAATTATATATCAAAGAATCGAATTCAAATTCAAATATAAATGAAATACATCTGTGTAACAATATTAAATACATTGCTATAATAATAAATATAAAATCACTATTATTAAAGCGATATTTTTAAAAAGTACTTAATAGTTATAAGTAATAAAAAAATGATTTCAAATTATCGGTTTGATATCGATATATAAAATAGATTTATCATTATTACAAAACTATACAAATCCGAAATATTAAATTAAAGTCATTTATACAGAAATTTGTATTTGAACAAGGAACAAAACAAAGGTGAATTCCACACCTGGATGTCATTTTTCTTTTCTTTTTTTTTCTTTTTTTTTCAATATAAAAAATCGAAGCATTAAACTATACAGTGACGAGAAATTTATGCTGAACAATGAAAAAAATTGATTTCTACATTTAAATATCATTGTATTTCTATGCTGAATAATTTCTGCCTAACAAGAGACAAATCTTACACCACTGGACACTCGTAAATTATTAGATTAGATTACAGTTTGACACAAAAAATGCATTGTCACGAATGTTTTTAAAGTATTATCACTCATACTTTTATAACCAAGTCGAAAAACTCCGTTAATGTGAAAAATGGCTTTCACAAAATTCGTGGAAAAAATACACTAGGACATCTAGGACGAAATGGAAAAATATTCAAAACATTAATACACATACCTGATATGAAGACTATGATGCAACAGAGGTATCCAGCAATAGTTTTCTTCATTGTGAAAATCCTTCACTATTCTTTCCTTTTCTCCCTATTCCACTCCGGCGAAAGTATTAAGAATGTTCAACCGTTCCGAATATAATATGAAACAATGTACGCAGATTATATTCATACAGTTCAAAGACTTCAGAGTGTCGTCACAGAATATGAGGCTGCTTAAATCACTATATAGTTATACACTGAATGCACTGTAATACGCAGTGTGCGGTCAAACTGATACGAAAATAGAATACTTGCTTAAGAACTGTTTCAGCACTGCTCTCAAACTGAGTTCCTGGATACTTATGATATTATCAGAACTCTAAGATGCGTATTACAACTCTGCCTTATGTCAGTATCTCTCATTCCTTAGACCATGGATTTTAGGGTCTAACGTTTATTTTACGATTTATCCGATCCAGCTTGCAAAATTTAACCTTAGGATAAAACATAAAAATTTCAACATGCTCCCCTCAATTAGATACTCATTAATATGCTGTTTATAAAATTTGGTGTAACGCTGCTTGTAAAAGCGAATAAATAATAATGATGCTCCGACGCAAATTTCAAACGTAAATATCTCATCGAAATATAAGGCTACTTAATTAATTTTACAAGTTAAAAAATTGCTCGGCCCGCGAGTTATATTGCTCGGGCATAGAACATTCACGACGATCAGGAGATTCTTATTTTAATCGATGGTAATGTGAAGCTGATTCTAACCTCGAAATTTGCAATGTTTTAATTTAGTGGTAGAACGGTGCAAGCGCGATTGCACATCCGTTAGAGCGTAATCAGGATTAATTCGAAAACCCATGGATCGCCGCAATAATAATAATACATTACGCGAATGTCTAATTCAGGGATTCAATTATTAAAAATAATTAACTGTAATAATCTTTTCTTGATCTTCGCTCTTTACATTCGCGATTATTTTATCCATAATAAAATAACTTTTAAATAAATATGGAAGACTTCTGGATGCAATCTATCCATTTCTATCGATTGATAAAGCCTTGGTAATCGATAAACTTTTGGCTAAACTTGGCTCAATTCACTTGGATTCGAACACGAAAAATTATAAATTTACGAAATTTATATTTATGGCATTATTTGAATAAAAGCAGTCGATGAGTCATAAACGACACGTACAATTATGCATATTTATTACTTCAGATTTCAAATATTTATACATAAAAATGTGAACGGATTCCCTCGACTGTATGATATCAACTGTCAGATGAAGCCTTCGTCTTGCTATAATTTACTGTAAATTAATACTATAAATCATTTTAATCAAATAAATATGGTTAGTTATTGAATATTATAAATATTATATGAAGTACTAGAGATGATGGCAATAATATTTCATTAAATTTCTTTAACAGATTTCATTGTCTGAAAAAAGAATTTAAACATAGAGATTTGTCGTTAAATTTCAAGCTTAACGTCTTTTTCTTTTGAATTAGTCCACACAATCGTTTAATCAATCGATAAATTCTTTAAACATCGACTTAATGTACTCCACTTAAAACGAAAGATTTGCCTAATGATTTGGGACTAATGGTTAAATGAAAATGGCCGATAAGTATAAATCTGTAGAAAATATTGCAATCTGATAGCAATAACGCGAGTTGAGGTCGTACAAAATCAAAATTTTTGAAAAAAAGCTTATCAGACCCGTTGTGCATAACACCTCAAGTTATTGAACTCTTATACACATGCGCGTACATGTACACATATCAGAAAATATTATGATGTTTTAATTCTATAAACATGATGTTGATATTTATAGCATTTAATAAGATAATAAACGTACAATTTTATACCACACTGATATAATATAGTTTCAGATAATAAATAGTTTCAATAATAAAATAAAACAATGGTTTTAGATAATAAAATCGGATATATATTTATTAGAGAGAACCGTTATGAGATATTATATATTATTTACTAGATAAATACAAAGATTTTTCAGAAATTTCTCTTAAAGTCAATATTTATTCCACGCTTAACTCTAACTTTTAACTTAGACTGAACTGTTAATTAATAGATTAGTAGGAAATCAATACAATGAAAACGACGCGCAATATCCAAACAAAAAAATTCTTAAAATCACTTTGTAAATAATTTTTATCAATAATCAGTGCAATAAAACTAGTTAAAAAATAAATATTAATCAATCGTAATTAAAATTTTTTAAATATATAAATATTGGAATATTTAAACATTACTTTTTGTGTTCATATTTCATACATTATAACTTTATCAAATATAAAGAATTTATTGCAAATTACAAAATTCAAAAACAAAAATTATATATTATTTTAATCCACAATACTGATCAATAGTTGATTATTACAAAAAAAAACCTAATACATTAACTTTAATATCAAAAACGGAAAAACGGAAACTTGACTATTATCCATACACCTTCGTGTATGTCCATCCAAAAATAAGCCATCGCCCATATTTTTTTTCGTATTATAAGTGTGCAATGGTTTACTAGGGGCATCTTTATCCTAATTATTATGCTTTAAGAAACAATATTGATATTTAAAATACATATTACAAATTTGATTTTACATGACGTGCTTCACTTAATTTAGAAATCTTATCTAGTGTCTTGTCTTTACCACATACTACATAAAATTATATAATATTCAATTACGACATAGTAAAAGAATAAAAAACATTGAAAATTACAAGCATTTATTAAAAATGATTATCTTCTTGCACAAGATACTGTTAGAAATTTCAAATTAAAATCATTTAATATTTTGGAATAACTGAACTTTAAACAATCAATATGATATGCAATAATATTGAATATAATATGAGCTTTGCTTTGTAACGGGTAAATTACCAATGCAACAAAAGGAATGAAATTGATGTAACATAAGTATTACAAATTGATAAGGCAAACAGATGAACATGGGCAAGTATGTTATTCATGCCAAAATATATTTATACGAGTTTCAAAAGTGGTTGGTTATGTGTTTTTCAAAATTTTACGGATAAAATGTTTTTTATGAGCACCATACTATATAGGATAAAAATAACAATTGAAATTTAATATTTGGACAAATGATATTAAGGTAAGATAGCCTACAGTAGTAACATAAATATTAGAATTGTAAATATTAATAATGTCTTATTCTTTTATCAGCACAGTATTTTGAAAAATATTTATCAAAATAGTATGGATAAAAATATCTTGCTTCGTTCCTTTAATCGTATCAAAAAATCAAAATGGAGTGAAGGGGAGCGTATTTTAATTTTTCTACGCCTCCACTGTCCTCCTCAGCTTAAAAATATAAGAAACAAACTTTTTCATCGAAGCTGTAAAATACAAATTCGAATTATTGATAAATTACTTTTCTCAACGTGTGCAATCATGAATTTTCAGAAAGACTACAGAATAGTAAACAATAAGAACTATCATTAATATTATATGCATTCAAGGATAAATGACAATAAAAAATAAAACATGAAGGCAAAACAAAACATTCAAATGTAGTAAGTTCCATGAATTTTAATAGTGTAACGGAAAGACAGAATTTTTGAAAACTCATGAAAAATTCATTTCGGTATGATTTTCTTATTGATTTTTTCCGTTCTCAATAATAAATATAATAATAACTATTATTGCAATATTGAATTATTAATGAAATATTCTCTATACTAAATAATATAAATTTAATCATTATTTGTTTCATTTCAATTTTTGTAGTTCTATACAATTTATCTCTAATCCGAAAAAACTTTATTAAGCTTAATTTTTTCTTACATTCATTAAAAATATATCTATATGTTAAACGACATAATGTATAATGTATTTACGTTCCAAGTAATAAATCTAATAAAACTAGCAAATTTACTCTAAATAAAATACATTTATTACAGATATACGTGGGCGTTAAATTACCGAATAATTCCATAATTTAAATTGTACATGGGTAGTTCAGATATGTGTCAAACCGTTAATTTTTTTCTTTTTTTTTGTTTAAATTACATCCTCTCTTCACATAAATATTTTTTACAATTTTTAAGTACTTTACCTAATGTAGCAGAAAATATATAATTTTCTGATTGATTTCCGAACAACGCGATATTTAATGTTACCTGCACTTATGGGAATGGAATAGTAAAAAATTCCTCGTTCAAATGACCGATATTTCAGTTGTTTAAGATTTTCTCAGAATTGTCAGTAAAACAATAAAAAAAAAAAGAGATCGGCCAGAGAGGGGGAATGACGAGCGGGGAGGGGGGAGGTGGTAGGGGAATGACAAACAGACCAACGGACAGATAGGGATGCTTTTAGCTATTATTTTTCTTTTAATATACATTAGATTACTAAATAAAATTATTAAAATTGATAATGCGAAAATTGGATTTCAAATATGAAAGCTCTGTAAAATTTAACTTCTATTGTACTTAAAAGAAATAATATTAGAAAAATAACTTAGACATAGTTATTAAGTAGAGCAATCGTTTAATAATTAAAACTATTTTCAATCGTTAATTTCTAAAAAATTAATGTGACCGTACAAAACGGAGGGAAACAAAGTTTCAGTTAATATCATACAGTCGAGGGAATCCGTTCACATTTTTATGTATAAATATTTGAAATCTGAAGTAATAAATATGCATAATTGTACGTGTCGTTTATGACTCATCGACTGCTTTTATTCAAATAATGCCATAAATATAAATTTCGTAAATTTATAATTTTTCGTGTTCGAATCCAAGTGAATTGAGCCAAGTTTAGCCAAAAGTTTATCGATTACCAAGGCTTTATCAATCGATAGAAATGGATAGATTGCATCCAGAAGTCTTCCATATTTATTTAAAAGTTATTTTATTATGGATAAAATAATCGCGAATGTAAAGAGCGAAGATCAAGAAAAGATTATTACAGTTAATTATTTTTAATAATTGAATCCCTGAATTAGACATTCGCGTAATGTATTATTATTATTGCGGCGATCCATGGGTTTTCGAATTAATCCTGATTACGCTCTAACGGATGTGCAATCGCGCTTGCACCGTTCTACCACTAAATTAAAACATTGCAAATTTCGAGGTTAGAATCAGCTTCACATTACCATCGATTAAAATAAGAATCTCCTGATCGTCGTGAATGTTCTATGCCCGAGCAATATAACTCGCGGGCCGAGCAATTTTTTAACTTGTAAAATTAATTAAGTAGCCTTATATTTCGATGAGATATTTACGTTTGAAATTTGCGTCGGAGCATCATTATTATTTATTCGCTTTTACAAGCAGCGTTACACCAAATTTTATAAACAACATATTAACCACTGTGTAGTGGAGACAAAGATTTACCGTGAATCGAAACAATCGTTTAAATTTAGAATTTCTAGGAATATATGTAACTTTGACAGTCTTCTCAACTATTACAACTCTGTCCAATAATAAAATAGTCATTGGATAGTCTTGTGTGAGCGTGCAATGACTAGACATATTGAAAAGTATTAAATTCCAAAAATATCCTGTACCTTAAATAACTATTAATAACAAAATTTAAGATACTTACTTAGGCAACTTACTAGAATTAAAATTAAATTAAATGTAGTTTAATTAAATTAGCAAACAAAATAGAATGTAGTTTGATAAACAAGTCAACATCAAGTTAAATTAATTTTAACCTGAAACTTGAATATGCATTAAGCGATTAAATTAAAGTGCATATTATCATTAATACTAGTATTCTTGTTGAAGAATGAAATTATAGAAAAAGAAGCGAGTACAATTTGCTTCGTATATTCTTATTAATTCGTTATAGTTGATATTTTATTTTATGTAATAAATACGTAAAAAATAATGTGATACGTAATCTTCTAAAATATTTACATCACAATTAAAAATTGTATGTATATATAAATATAAATTATGAAATTTCGGTCAATGAGTAGCTAACGAAAACTTGTAAATTAATTTCTTTGATTATTCTTTGGTGATTAAATGTCTAGTTTAATTATAATTATTCGAAAAGTTTCATAATTTAAGAGGTTAGGTATGTAATACATATGTACACAGACATTTTATAAGCTTTGGATTTTATAAAGTTTTTGGAAATAATTTATTATATAATAATATAACAGATTACATTTATATTCTTTTTTATAATTCAATTTTTGATTGTTTATAAATAGTATTTACATTCATTAAAGCGAATTAAATTTATATACTGTGTATCGAATGGCGCAAATACTACTTTAATTTATTCTGAGTATAGTTTTTGTTTCAAAGGATTTTCAACTATCCCAATGAAAACAAGAAAGAAATTTGTAAAATCTCCAATCAAAGGAAGAAGATCAAACAATGTTTGTTTCAAAAAAAGTCCAATGTTACGCAAAAATCCTCATCAAAGTTTTAGAAAGCTATATAGAAATAATAAAACAGCAGTTTATGATAGTCCATTAAAACATCTATGCAAAACTAAGTATGTACATATATAATAGCAGTTACTGTTATATAAACATTTATGCATACGTGCTATTTTACATTATTTGGATTCGTAATGAAACTTGTTTTAAATATTTAATCTTGCTTTATTAAGAATTTATAAAATAAATAGATGTTATATTAATAATATATAGTTGATGTGATATATATTATATGTATATACATTTTAAAGGAACAAAATTAAAATAAAGTAAAATTTATGTTAAAATAAATTGAAAATCAATACAAATATAATTTGAATGAGAACCTTAATACGATTGTTATTTTAATTGTTTAATTATAACATGAAAAGTCATATAATTTGTTTCCAATTTTGAGTAACAATCAAATGTTTAGTTTAAATACAGGTAATTGCCTATTAAATTGTAATAAAAAGAATGTTTCAAATAGTACGCTATCAAGGATCAATGATACCATTGAGGATAACAAATTTTCCGACAGTATAATAATTATAGAAGATACAAACTTTTCCCCAATATCAAAAAGAATATTAAGCAATTCAAAAACGAATAAATTATCTAATCAGTTCGATGGAAGTTCTGTTAATACTGGACCATTATCGAATAGTGAAGAAATTGTAGTAATAGATTGTAATGACTCATTTGTAGAATCTGCAACCAGCAACAATATATTAGATGGAAATATAAATTTACCCAATTCAAGTGAAAACCTCGTTGATTCTGTAATTATAATAGACCCAGATGATGAATTACCTGGTTAGTACTAATTTATCATTTCTTATTCCAAAAAAACTTTGCATTTTAAGGCTAGTTAATAATTATTAATGTATTTAAAAAAATTTGTTTTCTAAATCAATTTTTTATTCTTTTTACATTGCAATGATAAAATAATTTATACTGTATATTATTTTAAATATTTCAGTTCAGACAGCAAATACAGTACCAAAATCTAATGAAGATTGCTTTGTTGTTTGGTCATCATTACCTTGTACATCGACTAATAAATTAAATAATCCCTCCAAATCTCATACGAATGATTTACATAATATAAATTCAAGATTATCAGAGAATAATAAAATTATAGTTGATACACATCCTGATTTAAGAAATCTCAATTATATAAATAATGAAAACAACGAGCCAATTAAAAATCAAACCGACAGAAATGTTAAAGCAATATTAACAAGACCGCATGCTAAAATAACATCCGCAACTAAAAGTACTGTAATTGAAACAAAATCACTAGTCACAGTGATGTCTGCAAAGAAATTTACTAAAAAGTCTCAAACTAAAAATGAGAAAAAGATTACAGCTCCATTTATAAAAAGGACCAAAAATAACGGTGAACTGATTTTTTTATCAGAGCCTAAAGAAGATAACGAAGTTGTAACAAAAGTAAAAAAATTTAAAAAAGGAAAACTTAGAGAAATAGTTATTGATGGGAGCAATATTGCTATGGCGTAAGTATTTTATTAATTAATTAATTTTTCGACAGTTTTACTATTTAACTAGCTAGTAATTTCAACTGATTTAATTTAATATGAAATTCAACAGGTATACAAATAATAAAATATTTTCTGAAACAGGAATTAAAGTACTTATAGATTATTTTACGAAAAAAGGACATACTATAAAAGTCTTTGTTCCTCAGTATAGAAGGTCGCGTAAGTTTCCATTATTAGAAAAATGGTATAAAGAAGGTATTGTTGTGTTTACGCCAAGTCGAAAACTCGGTAACAAATCGTATACGCCCTACGATGATCGGTAAATATTATGCATTAACAATCATGCTTTATTAAAGAAATTTATCGTTTAATAATGTACGTATATAAGAATAATTTCGTTAGTCATTAGAAAAATGATTTAACAATATGATAAAGCTAATAATTTCTGAATTTTTAATTTTTATATTTTTCAAGTTGTATGTAAACCGTGTGATTGTTACTTAATATCAATTAGTAATATATTATTATTTGAAATTAAAAGAAAAATATTATAATTGTAATATGTAGGTACATTTTGGAATATGCTACAGCATGTAATGGTATTGTAGTATCTCAAGATCAATTTAGAGATTTATATACCGAAAAACCGCAGTATCGTGATACTATTGAAAATAGATTACTCGTACCTACGTTTGTCGGCGAATATGTGATGTTCCCTGAGGACCCATTGGGAAGGGATGGACCTACTTTAGCAGATTTTTTAAAACATCAGTAATATTACTTATTGTATAAATCTCAATTACAGGTACTTTATAAAGGACAAAGAATTGAATTATTTTTTTAATGAAAAATTAAAAATACTGCAAAAAATAAGTTTTATTTTATAAATATCTAAGCTATTGTTTATAAAGTAGAAATAGATTATTAGAAATAAGATGTGTCCGTTACAAAGATATTTAATTTACCAATAATCACATTTTGATATCTTCAAATTGTTATTTTACACGTTAAAATTTGTAACTGACATATTTTTATAAATATTTGTGTGAATTAAAATTTTTCTAAAATTTAATTCTATTAATTTAGTAAAATAGTTATGTAAAGTACAAAATTCATTGTATATTTAAATGCGAAACTAATTTTTAATTTTATTATTTACGATATTTACACATTTAAATAATTGTAATATAGAAAAAAAACATATTTTATAAAAAAATAATAGAATTCTAATATTTATATTATTTTTATTTACAATAACATGACTATTAAAAAATGCTTGATGTAATGTTTATAATACATATGTTCAAAAAAACTTTGTATGTATATATAGGGGATATAAATAAATATATGTAAAATCAATATTATTTATTATCATCGTAATCGTCTGTAGGTGGCTTATCCCAGGAAGGTTTCCAACACCATTTACGCGATTGCCTTATCGAATTCATATTTTCATGGGCAGTTTCTTTTGCTGCTCTTTGTAATAGAGTTTCGTGTTCTGGATCGGCTGCTGTTGCAGATAATACTGATTCGTGTTGAAATGCAGAACTGACGGCTAAGCATATAAAAGTTTCATTAAGCTTTTCAAAAAGCTTTTATTAACGAATTATTAATCTACATTATTATCTATCGGTTGATAAGTTTTTTAAAATTAATTGTTGCGCCTAATTAATATTTTGTAGCATTTCATTTGAGTGATTTGAGCAATTAAAAGACAATTGCTTTATGCGCGTAATTTGTAAATTAAGCAAATAGTCCAACCTTATAAATCAATAAGTTTAATTGTACGACTATAAATAGCTTTTGGAATTATGTTTTATATCATTGACAGTAATAATATGCGAGGCTTTATTGCAATTGCTTTATGAACTAAGTAATAACAATACTTAAAGGAAAAGAGAAAAAAATTTTTCGTAATTTGCAAGCTTCAAGATTTTCGAACAAGAATCTTCTGCTAACTTTCTGCAATTATTTTATATTTGCATATTTTATATTTGTTAAGGTGATCTATAGATTTTACTATTACATTTGTTTTAACATACATTTTTATCAATCCCAAAATCATCAATCATTTAAGTATTCGCTATCGATTATTATCTTTTATATTATTTGTTTACCTAGTAAGAAATTGAGAGCTGAGAAATGATGTATTAATGACATTGTAAAATGAGGAGATGCGACACTTGCATCCACGATTTATTTGTAATTAGAAAAGAAAATTTAATAAATCGACAATAGTTGTATGGAATTTCATATATATCGTATGGTTCCATTTTTTGTAATGTTTTAATTTACACATATGCAACATTTGTAATCTGCTTGACTGACATGCATGATGTGAATAGCTTTTCGTTTATAATTACAATTTTAATTATATATATATATATATATATAATTTTTAACGAGATTAACGAAACCGAGTTGAAGTCACACAAAATATGTTAGTTTTAATAGTACATACCTGATTTGCAGAATAACTTTGATAATACAAACTGATCATCGGTAATGTCCGTTGCATTCACTTCATTTAGTTTACTAAATCGCCGACCAATCAAGCAAGATACTCGTTCTCCTTCAAATATAGCTGATACGCCCTCATGTTTACCTTTTGTATGTTTTTTATGTTTCGAGATACTCTTATGATCCTTATCATGTCTACTGATTTTTCTAGGATTCTTAGAAACATTTTTTATATTAGTTATATTTGGTCGTGATGGTATATCACGAATTTCTCCCTCTTCTAACTCATGTTGATCGACTTGTATTGCTTCTGATATATTATCGTAAATATTCTTTAAATTCAAGTTCTCAATGCCAATCTTTTCATCTTTCTCAATAATCACAGGCTTATTATGTAATGCCTTTAGATTAATTTTTAAACAGTCAGTTTCTTCACTGACATTATCCTTTATACATTTTTTATCTTCGCTCTCTCTTTTAGATTTTTCCTTTATTGAACTATCTAATTCTTGGGTGATTTTGCAATTATTTACACAGTCTGATGAGATGCTTTCATTGCTTTTTAAAGAATCGCTATTTTGATACGTTAAATTGGATATTTCCGTCTCCGACACTTCATTATTTACATAAGAAAATTTATTATCTATACAAGATTTATTAGTAGATTGATCCCTCGTAGCATTCTTACCAATTGTTTTGCTAAGAGACGAGGCAAGTTTTCTCATAGCTTCTATTTTACTCAAAGTAAAATTCAGCTTATTGGGTAATAATTTAGAACTAGGAAAAAGCTCGTCCGACTCACTTTTTCCGTTGATTGGTTCGTTCAAATTGAAAAGCTCGCTTAAATCAGTCGTTCTAAATAATCGTCTTTGACGTGGATCTTCAAGAACTTTGTTTGAAAGAAGAATTTTAAACACTTGTCTATGATACATCTAAAATACAGAAATTGATTATACTTTTAAGCCAATGCCAATGTCTTGTTTTTAAATAATAAATTCGTAAATTTTATGATCATTCTAATTTATAATCATGAAGTTTAAAATAAAAGTTGCATTGCGGTTTGTATTTTCTTTCTTCAATTTCAATAGTAAAATCAAGTTTAATTTTGCTTAATATTTTTAGACTTACTTATCCAGTATTTACATATTAAAACAAAAATTCATTTTATTTAGAGATAAATTATGAAACCCCGTGTTCGTGTGATATATTCTTATATTTAACTATTTGTAAGACCACGCCTTATGTGAATATAAAATTTTTATTTTAAATTTTCAAAAAAGTATATATTAACGAGTAAAATTATATAATCCATAATCGTATATATGAAATATGCATAATAAAATTTATCTTTTTTTTCTTAAATTCATTTTATATTACTTCCAATTATATTCTATATTACAATATAATGTTTATCATTTAAAATTTTCCTGTCTTCATAATAATGATATTTAACGAACTTATACGCTAATTACGCGCAACTAAGATTTTATTTTTCACTTTGCGTGGAACGTATAGCGCAAGGCGATTATAAATAATAATCATCTACGTAATTATACCTTTTCTTCAATTGTCCCAGCAGTAATTAATCTGTAAATAGTTACGCTCTTATCCTGGCCAATTCTCCAAGCTCGTTCCCTCGCTTGAGCATCAGTTGCAGGATTCCAGTCGGGATCGTAGATAATTACTCTATTTGCTCCCGTTAAATTAACTCCTAGACCTCCGACTCTCGTTGTCAATAAGAATATAAAAAATGATTTATCCTAAAGAGACAAAATAAGAGTGTTTATGCTCGAGTTGATAAAGATCGTGTAATATTTATGAAGACTTACTTTATTGAATTTAGAAATCAGTAATTGTCTTTGACTCATTGGAGTTGTGCCATCCATTCTTAAATACGTGTAATTTTCCTTTTGCACTAAACACTCTAAAATATGCATCATCTGCAATTAAAATTGATTGTTATAATGTATTATAATGCCGATATTTATATAATTTAGCACCTGTCTACTTTGAGTAAACAAAAGTACTCGATGACTTTGCTTATTCCAAATTTTTAATAATGAGCGAACGACAGTCATTTTACCAGCTCGTTTCCAGTGACCAAATTTATTTATCTCGTTTTCATCCACTTCCATTTCCGTCTCTTCCTCAGATTCCTTTCATCGTACATTTAACAATTATTTTTTATGCAACAATGAATTACGCGTTCTATCATTATAAAAACAGTGATTGAAAACATTCTCACCATTTGGGCCTTACTGTATAAAAATAAATCAGGATGATTACATATTTTACGCAAAGCTGTTAGGGCGACCAAAAGTCTAGCTCTATATCTTCCACCTTCACGTTTTTCATGAAGAACAAATGAAACTTCGTCGGATCGTAAAAATTGTTTATACAATTGTCTCTGCTCATCTGTTAGACAACAAAATAATACCTGAAAGCATACGCATTATTTATAAATTGTACAAAATATTAATATTTATTTTGTATTCTATTACAATTTTAGATAAATTTTCATTACAAAATCATTTAAATTTTTTTGTAAGTTTTGTAAGTTGTTTTCTGAATTTCAAACTAATATAAATAATTAAGTAATTTAATAGCAAGAGTAATTGAGAAATATACTTTTTGTTCACTTGAAATCTTATACAATGACTGACAGTAAAATATTTTCATCTAGTGCAATATATATTTATACTAAATCAAAAACATTAGATGACTTTTTTTGGATTAGACAACTTTGCAATTAGCAATTGATTAATGTTTAACACAATATTTTATGCATCATTTCAATTCCATCAACTATGTAACATTTCATTTAATTTAAATACACTTTCTTCTCTCTTTAAGGCAGTACTTGATTAAAAAATATCATCTTACAGTCACATAAATAGGTAAATAATTTTGATACTCAATATATTTATTATATTCGATATAATGATATTTTTAATAATTCAAATGCATTTAATTTTTAGCTTAATACTATGATATAAAAATGTTGCATATAACAATGGACATTAAAATATTTGATAAGCATAAATTACTTATTTATAAAATTACCTGCTCATTTTTGTCAGGTAAACTAATGTGATGTTGAATGTCATATTTTGTCCTTCTAAGCATGTATGGAGTAATAGCATCTCTTAGCATAGTGGCAACTTGTAAAGCAGTTGCTTCCTGTAAACGACTGGCATTTGAATATCCGCCTCTAGTTATGGGACCCGAACAATGTTCCATAAACGCAGATAGCGTACCAAGTTTTCCCGGCAAAATAAAGTCAAAGAGAGACCAAAGCTCTTTCAATGAATTTTGCATAGGACTGCCCGTTAGGAGTAAACGATGTGGTGTTAAAAATCCTTTAACAATTTTGCTTATCTGAAAGAATATTTTAAGAAAAGACATTGTTTGGAAAAATATTGAAAATAAAATCGAATACATACTTTAGCTTCAGGATTTCTGATTTTATGCCCTTCGTCTAAAATAATATAATGCCATTTAAATCTTAAAAGCAATTCCTTGTGAATTAAGACTCCTGAATAAGAAGTTACAAGAATCCCACCAGCTCTCAAGCTATGTAGCAAATCTTCTGTGTCTCCTGAGACATAAAATATTTTTCAAGATATATATATATACATATATATATATATATATATATATATACATATATACGTGGTTTAAAATTTTCTATTTAATCTTTAGCTTTACAGAATAAAAATATGAATTAATAATGTCGATATTATATTCATATTAAGTTTTACCATGAAAAGTTCCAGACTGATGTAGAATCACAGTACGCATAGTAGGCCACCAATCGTGAAAATGCTTTACCCATTGCTCTAATAAAGTTGCTGGACAAATAATAAGCGTAGGTCCCAAACCTCTAAATCTATAATTTATAATTTTCTATAATAATTATTTCTTTTCTTATTTATAACATTCAATGGCTTCTTTTAATAATTGCAATAATTATTACATTTATCACATTAAAATATGACTTTATTACCTTCCACCATCAGATAGTAATTCACTGCAATCTAAACCAGCTAAAAATGCAATAACTTGAACTGTTTTACCCAGACCCATTTCATCTCCTAATAGGCCACCTAAATTTCGACTATGTAATTCCCAAAGCCATTTCACCGATACTTTTTGATATCTATGAACAATACATGATTTATACAAATTATTTGAAAATTGAAAAAAACTACAAATTTACTTACTTATACAATTTCTTCCATATACACTTTGGAACCTTGAACAAATGGTCTATCTTATGCAGAGGTTCATTTTTGTTATAACTACTTCCTTCTACCCTCTGCTTATATATTTTCTCATTGCCATCATCCAGAACTTGAAAATATAAAATATTAAATTGTAATATCATGTGTTATAATTGTCAATGCTACATTATATAAGATAAATTCTATTTAAATGTTTATTGTGTCATTGTACCTCGTTGTATATGATTATCGTTCTGTTTTAAATGTAATCTTTTTTTCTTTTGCCCAGATTTTTGTGTAGTTTCTACCTCGGAATCATACTCATCGCTGGGAATATATTCGCTCCCAGAATCATTGTCAATTTCGACATTGCAAATTTCTTCGACCTTATCTATTTCTTTGTGATCCAAGTCTCCATTCGTTTCAAAAGAATTTCCTGTCTGTAATAAATTATTATTTCCTACATTATATATATTTTCTTCTTTATCAGAAATTTCATAAGAAACATCCATAATTGTGGATGCAAGTTTTTGTGATCGAGACGAGATTCTTTCCAGTTTCTTAAAACCTTGATTTTCTGACAATTTTGCATCGGTATTCTGTTTCTTAGATGATTTTGAATTAGATGTTTTCATTTTTTTTGCTGGAACTAAACTGTCATCCGTCTGTTTTGTTAAAGCTTTATTATTTTTCAATAGTTTCTTTTGTTTAGTAAGCTCCGCTTGTCGCAAAAGGTATTTTTCTAAATCAAGAAGTTGAGTTGATTCCGTGAATGTTCTCCTTGAAATAAATTTAATAAATATTAAATGTAATATACATTTCTATAATTTTATATCATTGCAAGTAGAAGCATGAAAAAATATAAAATAATAATTGTCCGTTTTCAAATCTATTCAATTATTAATCTCATAAAGTATTAAATAAACTATATATTTTACCCAAGAATTTGTTTGCTATTAGTTTCTTTTTTTACAGCTTGAAAAGGTGTAATTTCTCCAGTGCGAATTTGTTCCTGAAGCCTATTCCTTAATAAAATATTATTAGCAACATTTTGTTTATAATCTTCATCGAATCCTTTTTTAAATTGCTTATTTGCTTTGTTCGATGAATTAAATTGCACAAGCGATTGGATTTCGTCCGAAGCTTTTTGTAAAATAGTAGCTTCGGATTGTATAGAAACTACCTTAAAATTAAAAATTATGATACATTGTTAATATACAATAACAAGTGTTATTTCAAAGCCAATATTATAAAGGCAATTGACCTCCATCAGTTCATCTTCTTCTACGTTTTGACCTTCAACTTCCATTTTTATTTAAATCTTTTATTTAGATATTAAATTACAGACATAAATGAAACTTCTTCTTTCTTTTGGAAACAAAAATATAAATACGAATAATTTTATAGGTTATTTTCATTAATTACAATAACATTGACTTATTTATTATTTTTAGCGTTTAAGCTTCCGTTTAGCTCACAGAAATTGAACATAAAATTTCCTATAAATTGCATTTCACATTAATAGGCAGATACTTGCATTCAAAGAAAATCAGTGCATAGCTGTCAAACAATGGCATTTTAATTTAAATATACTAAATGCAGGCAACCCGGATAACCTGACGGATGTATAACTCTATCTCTCTCAATCAGCCACAGCCGAGTAGAAAAGCTAGAGAAATAGATGTGTAATAATAGATGTAAAACCTTTACGCTAAATGATCACTAGAATTTTTAAAACTAAAAATAGATATTGTGTATTGTCCAGTGCAGTGTATTTCTCGTGATTTATGTCGCGTCCATTATTGTCATTAGAATGATATGTTGTTCGATATCAAATTACATGCGATCAATTTTTATTAGCTTAAATATTAAATCGACTATTCAATCATTCAAAATTCGAGGGCAGAAAAAAAAAATTGTTTCATTGTTAAAGTTAGATATATTTGTCCAAATTAAAGTACACGCGAGCTGTTAAATATTGTTAAAATATTTTCGTAAAAATGAGCGTCGGAATATTGGGGATAAATTTTCTCCACGAGACTTATAATTATTTTAATTAAATATTATTGCACTATATTGACAAGAATTTTATGACAAAATAAATTATTACTATTACAAATTATTGGCCATAAATAAACTTAACTCTTATAACAAAGAAAATCCAAGATAATTTTAAACTCTATATGTATTATTGAAAAATTGATTATTATATTTATTTATGTTTATCAATTTAAGTGATTAATCGTATGTGCTCGTGTGTGTGCACACGTGCGTGCCTGCATGAGAATATAATTATTTCCAATATAAAATTGATAATATCATAAGTCGTACAATTAAAAAAAAAATACATATATATATATATATATATATATATATATTTGAAACTTATTCGATAAAATATTAATTGTTTTAATAATAAATTAATTAAAAAATTACTTTAACTTATAACGAGTGTTTAGCATTGTGCTTTTATTTCAAAGTATTTGATAAAATTCAATAAACAGTGACACAATTCAAATAATAATAATTACTTTTATGACAGCATCTACTTTCTAATGAATATTCATCTAATAATCATACAAATATACATTTATTTTTTAATTTCACAATAATGATAATGAATTTAAAATGAAGTTGCAATAAATTATTTCTCTAACCTGAATTGAAAGTTTTATTTGTTATAGCCAGGCTAAAAAAAAATTATATTGACCGTAACATTAATTAAAATCAAATAAATCGAAAAACTAAATATTTTTAACTTTTGCGTTTTTAATTATTTTGACATTTTTAGATATCGATAAGAAATTGCAAAAAGTCGATTCCAATATTTCATTGATCAACCTCAATAAATTAATAAATTCAAATCATTAATATATATTTGTAAATAACTTGACTAAAAATAACAGACTCTTATTATAATAAAATTTATAAATTCTGACAAAATAAAAAAAAAATAGTAACAAAATATTGATTAAAAGAACTAATGAACGTGAAAATTTTAAATTTATAAGTTTCTTAATATTTATCTAATTTGGTAGATTAATAATAATAAAATAATAAATGTTTATATTGAATTCTATAAGCTTAAAAATTCCATTAAATAACAAATAATAAATATATAATAATTTTATTAAAAACATGACATTAAACAATTTATACCTTCGCTTAAACTGCATATTTTAATCAACTTATTGTTTTATTAAACTTTTTTCAACACACAAAATAGAGCAAATAATTATGTGAACAAGATAAATTCTGTGAAATTATTAATTGTAAATTTCTATGTTTATTGCATTACGAAAACAAAGAAAAATTAAATTAAACAGTGTTGGTAACTCGTTGACTGCGTAACGTAGGTTCGAGCAATATTAAGTATGACATTACAGAGTGGAACATCTAAATTAAAATGTTATTGTGTTTAAACCAGCCATGGATCATTTTAATTTAAAGAACGATGGATATTTTCTCGTATACAACCATACTTATCTTTAATAATAGAACAAAAATTTAATAATAATTATATTATAAAAGATAACATTTTTCAATGAAATTAAAAATTTTATAAGAATGGTGGATTTATTTTTAAGAAATATCTTCTGGCAGTCGAGTATTTAATTTTCACTCATTACGTATTTGCTTTACCTTCTAAACGTTTCATACGTCATCAATAATATATGTACGATAATTTGTCCGAACAAACAAATATTTATCGTTACATTATCACATATATGATTCATAGATGCTTTCCCTTTCACATAACTTTTTTTAAATGCAATGCTATAGATGAAAAGTAAATAAAGATAAAATTGTATAAAGGACTGTTTAATACAAATATTTAGGTAGGTATCGAGACTCTTAGTACAAAAAATTTATAATTATTTAGAATATTTTTTTAAGAATCCAACGCGTAGATGACATAATATAAAAAGCAATTTATGTAAATTGGCATGCAGGAAATCATAATGAAAAGGATAAAAAGAAAAGTGTAATATTTGTTTTTCAATGTTTATTTATAATAGTTCACCATAGGGTGGCTAACGTAAGAGCCAGCCATAGAAAATTGAAACGCAGCGCAAAATATTCGATAAATAGTAAGATTAATTTTCTAATGTTTTCGCAAAAAATAAAGTTTGGAGTTAACAATTTATTTTTTTTTAACGCGTTTGTGCATTACTACGCAGTAGTTATTCATTCAGTAGAAGCTTGAGAGAATTAAAAAATTTATTAAATTTCCATAATATAAGACAAAGTATATATAACTATAAGAAGAAAATAAAAGACAAATAAAAGTGTGGATTTTACTCGTTAAATACTTTTTCTTTAAAAAAAAAAAAAAAAAAAAATTAATAAAAAAATTGATAAAAAATAGAAGGTGCACTCGTGACTTTTCGACTCGACGCGTCAGTTCCGAAATGTAAGATCGTAGAAAGTAACAGGAGACTTGTAGATATTCGATGATTTACTTTTAACAAATTATATATATATATATATATATATATATATATATATATATTTCTTATATGAATTGTAAAATTATAAGATGGTTTTAGGAGATAAAAATTATGCACGTTTTACATTCATCTAATGATCTTTCCTTTCATTTTAAAATTGTTGTCCTTTCTTATGAAGTTTACTTTTGAACACATATGGTACTATTAATTTTAACATTATCTTTACATTGTAAGCGATAAAAAATGCAAAATAATAATAATTAGACTTTTTCAATAATTAATATTTAAATTGTCAATACAGATTTTATATGAAATTACAAAAAAAAAAAAAAAAAAAAAAAAAAAAAAAAAAACAAGTAACATTACAACAATACTGACGAAACAAATAAAGGTATGAAATTATAAATTAAACTTCACTGTGTAGATAATTTTTCTATTAAATGAATACAAACATTAAGAGAAAAATAGATGATGTAATTTGGTTTTTAACGCTTAAAGGTAAAATTATCTACCTTTTATTTTTTTTTTTATTTTTCATGCATTTAATAATTTCATCAAATTAACGCTCTCTTAACATGTTAGACGATGAAATAAACGAAACTGTAAAAAAAAAGCAACAAAAACTTGCTTCGTATTTTTGTTATCAATACAAAAGACAAAAAATAAGTACAAATGTTTTTTCCAATATTTCGTCAATACGTTTAAGCAGTTTTTACATATTCAAAAAAGTCAAAATTTACAATTAAAAATCATTATTAAGTATTCGTTTAAAATTTAAAAGATCAATAAAAGACTATTTCCATAAAATAACCATTAAAAAGAAATTTTTAGCGTCATTTATTTAATTCAATGAAATATCAAAGCACCAGCGACACGTATTATTTATATTCAATTTCAAATTTCAAAGGAAATCCGTTTATTATGAGAATGTCGCTAAACCTCACGAGGATAAATCCAAATGGGACAATAATCACTGCGTGAAAACTATTATCAAGATGTCTAAAATTTTGCTTAAAATTATCGTCCATTAATAATGTCACGTGCCAAATACTGAAAATTAATAAATTTGGAAAAACCCTTCGACGAATTGAAAGAATATCTCGACCGATGCGTTTGATTTTCGAGTCAAGGACACACAATTGATGAATCTCCTGTTGGGCCGAATTGAATTTGACAAGGAGCTAAGTGCCACCAGCTGCGGACGAATCGGTTCTTAAGCGTCGACGATGTCGTCCTCGACACGAATCCTTTACGCCCAGATCCATTCGGGCGCCACGGCCTCAAAGGCGAATCTCTCCGGTTGTCCGAGATGCGAGTTGTTACGGAAGTGCTTGGCCCAGTCGAATGCGGGGGCGCTGGCTCTGGGCGGCGGTCCCGCCCTGGCCTCGAAGCCCTCGAGACCGTCGGTACGGAAGAGAAAGAGCTTAGAGTCGATGACGCCGAGTGGACGCGGGATCACAGCCAAGTCACCCCGGTAGGCCAACAGCTGCTCCGTCGCCAAATCCTCATCGTCGTTGTTCGGGATCTGCGGTAGCTCCTCGTCACCCTTGGCCCTCAATCCTGTCATTTGCAGAAAAGGAGATGGACGTTCGTGAGAGAGTCGTATCAGAGATTAATTATTTTATCGACTCGGTTCGCTGCCTCGTTGACCGTGTCATGGCAACGGTCAGACGCGAAGACGACAAAACGAGTGGATCGAGACGGTCTCGGACTGTTTTCATAAATGGCAACGCAAACGAAAATTTGCTAACCGGCATTAGGAACACATCCGTTGTCGCCTGGGCGATTAAAGTAAAGTATACAAAACTTTAGTAGTGTGAGAATTTTACACTACTAATGTATAGTATATATATTTTAT